AAAAAAAAAAAAAAAAAAGTACACACTTCCAATTGTAAAAGAAATAAGTAACCGGGATGTAATGTATAGCATAAGGAATATAGTCAAAATATTGTAGCAACTTGGTATGGTGATAGCTGGTACCTAGAATTATCATGTATATAAATGTTAAATCACTGTGTTGTACACCTGAAACTAATGTAATACTGTGTCAACTACCCTTCAATAAAAAATACTTATCTAAAAAAAAAAAATGACAGAGTGGTAAAAAAAATTTTTGACATTTATGTCATACATAAAGTTCAGAATCTTAAAATGAAAAAGCAAACCTTACTAATTTATAAGAGTTCTTTATGTATTAAGGCTATAAACCCTATCTCCAGTCAGTTCCTTGAGATTTCTTTTTCAGGGGATGGGAGGAATAAAATGACTTTAAGTTCATCTAAAATAAAAAGAAACCAAAAATAAAAAGAAGTATCATGCTTTAATATAAAAAATAAATTATATGTAAAACAATGTTCTGGTTGCCATAGCAGCCTAGAAAAAAACTCTAGTAAGTGTTAAGAGCTCAATGTAAGATAGTGTCATAAATCAGTGAATCAACAAGGAAAACATACCACATTAGAAAAAATCTGGATAAAGTTTATAAACTGACAATTCTAAGCAGAATAGTATCTAGATAATTATTAGTTTGTCATTATAATAGTGAAAATTTGAAAGCAACCTAGATGACCTTACAATAGGTAAATCTTAAATTATGATATTTATATCCCTGTAATAGACTATTAGGTAGCCATTAAAAATTATTTTTAAAGAATATTTGAGGAAGTAATGTATCTTCATAGTACAATATTAAGTAAAAAAGCAGTGTGGTATCAATTTAACATAAAAACATTTATGTGTACACAGAAAGAAATGAATACACCAAAATATTAATAGTAGTTTCTCTGATGCTCACAACAGATGGTTTTGACTACCTCATAAAGTACATATGAGGTACTCAAGCCTAGACAGTAGGCTAAATACAAACTAGAGATAATGCTAGGTCCTATGTTATTTCATAGTAAGAGCAGCAGTTTTTGGAGGGAATAGTCTTGTTAAAGTCAGGTTTTCTTAAAGTTTTCAGGTATTTCTGTAGTATCAGATAATTTATCAATATCATCAACTTAAACGGAAGTGATTTTTCTGAATTCTTATATATGATACTGAGCTACATGTCTTTTTCTATTATTCTAATAAGATTTTATACTTGTTAACTAAATATAAAAGGCCACCTACTATTTGACAGATGCTTTACCTACTTACTGTTTATAGTTTTAAAAATAGTAATACTCATTAAGAAACATACAAAGGAAAAATGTTAGAGCTCCCTCCTTCTACCCCAGGTATAACCATTGTCAACAGTGGGACATGTATCTTTTCAGGATTTTTCCAACCATTTGGAAACACACGCATATAAAATTGTGTGGTTTTAGTGTTTTTCAAAGTGAGAATAAAACTATATATGTTCTTATTTATCATGTTCTTTACTTCCAGTAATATGCTATAAATGCATTTCTACGTGACTACATATATATTTACTTCATTCTTTTTAATTAGTGTACTTTCTACTTACACTTTTTCCATACTTTTGTCTCATAAATTTTCAAAAGAGTAGCATAGTTACTTGAGAAGCTGTCATAATTATGTTCACATAGAGTCAAAGAAGAAATTATTCAGCTTTACCCAGAGGAGATTTAGCATTCTCTCCCAAAGATCAGTCAGGATAACCTCTGAACTCATTTCATTTGAGTTTGTAGTTTGGAGTGTTCCTTTGTCCAAGGTATTCTCTGGAAATGTGTACTGTTTCTGGTCCCCAAACTTAAAATAATTACTAAGTAATTCTCAGAATCACCTAAGAACTATGTTAGCTGATAGGATTACAGACTACTAGCTAAAAGAAATAAAAACAGTCAAAGTGAATGACAATGGCTATATCCAACCCCTGTCTAAATTTCTACTATGTATTTAATTTACTATACTCTTTGGCAGATGGGGGTGGGGAAGAAGAGAGAGAAAGGAAGATAAATGCTTAGAAAATTTAGGAAAAACTGTACTTCCTTTATTAATTATAATCCTGTTTCCTAAATAAGCATAAATATGTGGACATTTATCTCCTTCCCAGTTTGGGGGTTGTAAATAATGTCTACATATAGAATTTTAAGTTTTAAAGAATGGTTTATTTAATACTGTCATGATTTTCAATGTTAAAGAATATTATTCAGTAACATTTCATATTGTAGACATTCCAAAAATATGAGGAATATTGTACAAATTATATAAAATTTTAATTTTTTAAATATTATTTTTGCAGTCTTAACAATAGTAGAGATACAGTGTTCTTCTAATTCTAAAACTGAAATCTCGCTTATCACTTAGATGCCCCCTGGAACAGCAAGACCAGGTTCGCGTGGTGGACCCATAGGGGCAGGAGTTCTGTCTTCTCAAGTCAAAGTTGCAGATCGTCCTGTAACACAACAAGGTTTGAGTGGAATGAAAACAGGAATGAAAGGTATCTATTTTGAGAAGATGAGTATATTTTTTATAAGAAGTATTACAGTACCATATTACAGTATGAGAATTACAGAGTGAAAGAAGCTGTGTTTTACTCAAGTCTTATTTGATTAACAAAATTGTTGTGAGGGTAAAATAAGAGAATGAATAGGAAACTACGTTGTGAACTAGAGCGCTATATACAGCTCTAGTTGGAAACACACGCATATAAAATTGTGTGGTTTTAGTGTTTTTCAAAGTGAGAATAAAACTATATATGTTCTTATTTATCATGTTCTTTACTTCCTCAACTTGGTATGGTGATAGCTGGTACCTAGAATTATCATGTATATAAATGTTAAATCACTGTGTTGTACACCTGAAACTAATGTAATACTGTGTCAACTACCCTTCAATAAAAAATACTTATCTAAAAAAAAAAAATGACAGAGTGGTAAAAAAAATTTTTGACATTTATGTCATACATAAAGTTCAGAATCTTAAAATGAAAAAGCAAACCTTACTAATTTATAAGAGTTCTTTATGTATTAAGGCTATAAACCCTATCTCCAGTCAGTTCCTTGAGATTTCTTTTTCAGGGGATGGGAGGAATAAAATGACTTTAAGTTCATCTAAAATAAAAAGAAACCAAAAATAAAAAGAAGTATCATGCTTTAATATAAAAAATAAATTATATGTAAAACAATGTTCTGGTTGCCATAGCAGCCTAGAAAAAAACTCTAGTAAGTGTTAAGAGCTCAATGTAAGATAGTGTCATAAATCAGTGAATCAACAAGGAAAACATACCACATTAGAAAAAATCTGGATAAAGTTTATAAACTGACAATTCTAAGCAGAATAGTATCTAGATAATTATTAGTTTGTCATTATAATAGTGAAAATTTGAAAGCAACCTAGATGACCTTACAATAGGTAAATCTTAAATTATGATATTTATATCCCTGTAATAGACTATTAGGTAGCCATTAAAAATTATTTTTAAAGAATATTTGAGGAAGTAATGTATCTTCATAGTACAATATTAAGTAAAAAAGCAGTGTGGTATCAATTTAACATAAAAACATTTATGTGTACACAGAAAGAAATGAATACACCAAAATATTAATAGTAGTTTCTCTGATGCTCACAACAGATGGTTTTGACTACCTCATAAAGTACATATGAGGTACTCAAGCCTAGACAGTAGGCTAAATACAAACTAGAGATAATGCTAGGTCCTATGTTATTTCATAGTAAGAGCAGCAGTTTTTGGAGGGAATAGTCTTGTTAAAGTCAGGTTTTCTTAAAGTTTTCAGGTATTTCTGTAGTATCAGATAATTTATCAATATCATCAACTTAAACGGAAGTGATTTTTCTGAATTCTTATATATGATACTGAGCTACATGTCTTTTTCTATTATTCTAATAAGATTTTATACTTGTTAACTAAATATAAAAGGCCACCTACTATTTGACAGATGCTTTACCTACTTACTGTTTATAGTTTTAAAAATAGTAATACTCATTAAGAAACATACAAAGGAAAAATGTTAGAGCTCCCTCCTTCTACCCCAGGTATAACCATTGTCAACAGTGGGACATGTATCTTTTCAGGATTTTTCCAACCATTTGGAAACACACGCATATAAAATTGTGTGGTTTTAGTGTTTTTCAAAGTGAGAATAAAACTATATATGTTCTTATTTATCATGTTCTTTACTTCCAGTAATATGCTATAAATGCATTTCTACGTGACTACATATATATTTACTTCATTCTTTTTAATTAGTGTACTTTCTACTTACACTTTTTCCATACTTTTGTCTCATAAATTTTCAAAAGAGTAGCATAGTTACTTGAGAAGCTGTCATAATTATGTTCACATAGAGTCAAAGAAGAAATTATTCAGCTTTACCCAGAGGAGATTTAGCATTCTCTCCCAAAGATCAGTCAGGATAACCTCTGAACTCATTTCATTTGAGTTTGTAGTTTGGAGTGTTCCTTTGTCCAAGGTATTCTCTGGAAATGTGTACTGTTTCTGGTCCCCAAACTTAAAATAATTACTAAGTAATTCTCAGAATCACCTAAGAACTATGTTAGCTGATAGGATTACAGACTACTAGCTAAAAGAAATAAAAACAGTCAAAGTGAATGACAATGGCTATATCCAACCCCTGTCTAAATTTCTACTATGTATTTAATTTACTATACTCTTTGGCAGATGGGGGTGGGGAAGAAGAGAGAGAAAGGAAGATAAATGCTTAGAAAATTTAGGAAAAACTGTACTTCCTTTATTAATTATAATCCTGTTTCCTAAATAAGCATAAATATGTGGACATTTATCTCCTTCCCAGTTTGGGGGTTGTAAATAATGTCTACATATAGAATTTTAAGTTTTAAAGAATGGTTTATTTAATACTGTCATGATTTTCAATGTTAAAGAATATTATTCAGTAACATTTCATATTGTAGACATTCCAAAAATATGAGGAATATTGTACAAATTATATAAAATTTTAATTTTTTAAATATTATTTTTGCAGTCTTAACAATAGTAGAGATACAGTGTTCTTCTAATTCTAAAACTGAAATCTCGCTTATCACTTAGATGCCCCCTGGAACAGCAAGACCAGGTTCGCGTGGTGGACCCATAGGGGCAGGAGTTCTGTCTTCTCAAGTCAAAGTTGCAGATCGTCCTGTAACACAACAAGGTTTGAGTGGAATGAAAACAGGAATGAAAGGTATCTATTTTGAGAAGATGAGTATATTTTTTATAAGAAGTATTACAGTACCATATTACAGTATGAGAATTACAGAGTGAAAGAAGCTGTGTTTTACTCAAGTCTTATTTGATTAACAAAATTGTTGTGAGGGTAAAATAAGAGAATGAATAGGAAACTACGTTGTGAACTAGAGCGCTATATACAGCTCTAGTTGGAAACACACGCATATAAAATTGTGTGGTTTTAGTGTTTTTCAAAGTGAGAATAAAACTATATATGTTCTTATTTATCATGTTCTTTACTTCCAGTAATATGCTATAAATGCATTTCTATGTGACTACATATATATTTACTTCATTCTTTTTAATTAGTGTACTTTCTACTTACACTTTTTCCATACTTTTGTCTCATAAATTTTCAAAAGAGTAGCATAGTTACTTGAGAAGCTGTCATAATTATGTTCACATAGAGTCAAAGAAGAAATTATTCAGCTTTACCCAGAGGAGATTTAGCATTCTCTCCCAAAGATCAGTCAGGATAACCTCTGAACTCATTTCATTTGAGTTTGTAGTTTGGAGTGTTCCTTTGTCCAAGGTATTCTGAACTATTTTGATCTTCATTTTTCTGAACATTGAGTTTTGACATATCTTGAAGAAATTTGAAATAATTTGGAGTAAAGTTCAGGAATGAAAATTAGATTTTTAGTAATACATAGAAATATTCTAAAATACTTTGTTTCCATATCAAAATGACACTATTAAGATATGTTTGAGTTTGAGAAGTGAGTCAAGAGCTGTTACTTCTAATAATTAATACTCCATTAAAATGCTTATCTAGGAAATCAGGCTAACACATAGATTTGTACTGTATCTCTCATCATGTCTCCCTGTATGTGTTAAGAAAGGCATAACAATACATTATATATTACTCAAAAAATTCGTCTGCAATATATGTAAATCAAAGCATGGTGAGCTGTTCTATAGTAAGTTTTTTTGTTTTCTGTATCTGTGACAAATGACTTATTAGAGGTTAAAATATTCTATAGTACAAAATTATGAGTATCATACTACTTTTTTTCAGAAGACTTAAACTTCCTACCACTTAGCTTACTAAATATTAAAAGCCAGTTGATTATTTAGAAATGCTTGCTTAATAACTAATAATCAATGCTATGAAAAAAGTGAGTCAAAGTTATATAGTTACTTAGTCTTTAAAAGTGTATTCATAGAAATGTTTATGTTTAATATTATTAAGAAACATCAAGGGTGGAAACATACTGAAATTCTATAGAGAATTCATCAAATATTTCTTACTGTATTAATTTCTCCTTCAGAACAAAACCAGTATCACATAAGATAGCTTATACCAATATACCTCAAAGACTTACATGAAAGAGATGAGTGTTACCACTGTGCACCTACCACTATTTGCTGTGACTTTTGTTCTTACCTGCTCTAATGTTCTATTTCTTTTCTCATTATAATAAGACATTTTCTCCCTCTTCTGAGCATTGACCTCACAGTTGATACTCCCTAGCCTTACCTATCACACCTTGCAGGTACTTCATCTCTTCACTATTTGGGACATTTAACCTAGGAATACTTTCTTAGTTCCACTGACATAAATGTAAGCTCATGTTTCTAAAAAAAATCTCTGAGACAAATTATGAAAAATCATAATCTTTTGGTTACATTGAGAAATTCATATTCTAAATCTGCACTCTTATGATAGCCAATGCAGCTATTTAAATCTAATTAAAATTAAGTGAAATAATTCAGTTCATCAGTAGCACCAGCACATTTCATTTCAAAAGTCCCATATAGCTACTTTATTGGTCAGTCCTGATAATAGAGTATTTCCATTGTTGCAGAAAGTTCTCTTGAACAGCCCTGTTCTGGGCTCCTTTAGACCCAGTTTCCATTCAGTCAGCCTGACTACTGTAGACTCTACTGTCTGCTGTCTTAACAGCCCTACCTCTACTCTCATCTTTATGGTCTAATTCAATCTTCCATTATGTCACCATGTTAGATACTAGTTCTCTTTTCCACTTCAGTGATTCTTCTTGATTATCTGATTTATTGGGGCATTCATGAGGACTATCAGAGAATTGTGGAGTATAATATGGATGTGCTTTGGATTTCCTATTTTTGTGGAATTTTCAAACTGAACACTAATACTAAAAAAATTTTTTTAGGTCCCCAGAGGCAAATTTTAGACAAATCTTACTATCTTGGGCTTCTTCGGTATGTTAAATAAACATATTTTTTTCTCTGCATGATCATGAAGTTTTAACTATAGTACTTATTAAGATAATTAGGTGTCTGTTGATTTCTAAGAATAATTTTTTATTGTACATAATTTCTGGTTAATTTGGTTATACTGTAAAATAAATGTGATAATACAGTTAGGCTGAGATTTAAAAGTTTATGTATTTGCATATATGTGAAATTATATATTTAAGTTGACTGTTTTTCATCTAATAGTAATCTTTTATACTTCTTTCACTAATTCTGAAATATGTAATTCATACTGTCAAAATGTTACTAGTTAGGTCTAATAAGACAGGGAAAATATATACACTTATTTATAATATATTAATTGGGGTAAAGCTTTACATAAGTATGTATTTGGTCAGTTGCTGCAAATGTGGCCCTATTTTAATTAATTCATAAACTTTGTTGTGTGTCTCTAAGTGTGCAGCTCTAAATTAGTAACTGTCATTCTCTACCTCCCTGTTTCTCTGCTCAGCTGTCCTACCATCCTGTCTCCATTTCCCAATCCACTTTATTTTCTTCTTGGCTCATCATCTGTAACTGCTTTCTCTCTCACTGCCATTCCACTTAATCCATCCTTTCATCATGTCCTAAAAACTCTGTTTCTTTCTTAGTCCTTGTTGTCTCTCACTTACCTGGATCCTTTTAATTCTCAAACCCCTAGAAAGCAATAAAGAGAAGTACATGTTTTCCTCATATATCCTTAAAGCTAATTAACATCAATAAGAAAGATAGTGAGGCCATGAGTTGTATCGTATCTCTGGGTATCTAGCTGCTTTTTAATCAAAAGAGGGAAAGGAAATGGAGCTATTTTACACTACTGCATTGCCTCGCTTCTCTAGGAGTTGTGCTTCTGCACCCAAAAATAATTGCAGCTTCTTGTGTAATTATTTGATTCTAGAGCGGTGGTTCTCAACTGGCAGTGATTTTTGCCCCCAGGGAACATTTGGCAATTTTTAGGCACATTTTTGGTTATTACAACTGGACTTGGGGGACATGCTACTGGTATCCTGACGAATGGTGTCTTTAAATACCCTGCAGTTCCTCCCCACCACCAAAGCATTATCCAATGACTAAAATGTCAGTAGTGCTACTCTGCTACTCTTGAGAAATCCCTGTCCTAGAGGTAGCAGGAGCTGTGACTGTGGCAATTAGTCATCTACTGCTGTCTGTATATTGTATCAGTTTCAGCAGGTTTCCGTTCTGGTCCTATTTCATCTTTAATGATTAGAGAATCTATGTAAGTTAATTATCAGTTGTGATACACCACATTCTTAATCAAATAAGTCACTTAAATTCTTTTTTTTTTAAGTGGAATTTCACACATCCATTTATATAATATTATACATTTATGAAAAGTTTGTTTTATTTGATTAGGAAGCCTCTTTTCTGGATGAGAAGTATTGTTGACTTTCTTATTTCTTTTCACTTAGAAGTAAAATAAATGAACTTACAACAGAAATTAATAAACTTCAGAAAGAAATAGAAATGTATAATCAAGAGAATTCAGTATATTTGTCATATGAAAAGAGGTGAGTAATTTTGCCATTAAAATGTGCAATATCTATTTTATTATGCGTAACTTTAATATGCTTTAGGAGGAGTTTAATACTGAATTTATAGTTATACATAATGTTGATAATGTTCATCTGCCTGTTTTATGTGTTTATGAGTGTATTTATTTTGTGCTTACAGAGCTGAGACTTTAGCTGTTGAAATCAAAGAGTGTCAAGGACAGCTAGCAGACTATAACATGGTATTTACTCTTTTATGAGAGAATTTCCTTTAAATATTTTCATTGCTTTTTATTACTCTAAAAATATTTTAAATACCAAATAATATATGAATACATTCTTATTGTGATAGACTGAAACTATAGAAACTATAGAGGTTAAAGTGTCCCTTTGCTGTCTTCTTCATTTCCCTTCCCAGAAATAATTTGGCTTAACAGATTGGTATCTATTCTACCAGTTAAAAAAAAAAAATGTTTACTTATTTTCCCCAACAATGTTAAAATAATCATTTTAAAAGTAGCAAAAATTTGAGTACTTAAAAAATATTTTACCTTTCTATTGCATGTTGTCATCATATTTAAAAATTTTAATTATGTACTACACAGTTTACTTCCAACCCTATGTTCATTCAAAATACAGTGTGTTTGCTTTCTGTCAAAATAAAGTATATAACATAAATACAGTTTCTTCAAGTATGCATCCTGAGGTGGACTTACAGAAGAAATAACCCCTTGACCATGTTGATAACTGCTATAATTTGGGGGGTCATCTTGGCCCCATGAAAATTTCTAGTGTCAGAATTTTCTTCCTTTCCACTGTGTAGCTATTTTAGGCAGCAATGGTATTTGAACTTAAAGGAAGAGGAAAATTTTGATTTTACTTTTATTAAAATATAATGTGACACAAAATAAACATTCTACCATAAGGGTTAGGTAAATTATGGCATACCTACCTGATAGTGTTATATTATTCTTAAAAACAAGATTTTTCTGATTATAGTATATTGTGATTCTCAAATTTCTTAGACTATGTAATCTGCAACACGCATTTTGTAGGGCCTAATACTCAATGCAATTATTTTTTAGTAAATGATGTTCTGTTCTAAACATGAGAAAAATATATTATAAAATATGAAATGACATTGAATGAAAGGGACTTTTACTTGTATGAGTTTACTGGTAAATTACTTAGTATAAAAATAATGTGTAAAATCCATTGTTTATAGGCTTTATGAGCTAACACTTGATACAGAAAAAATAACTATGTGTCTAACATATACCATGATCTCAAAAAATGTTGTTTTATTAGCACTTATTCATATCACAAATGAAAATGTGATATATACTAATATGAATTTCATTAACAAAATTTATTCTTTTGGAATCAGTTATACCCCAATAGTTTGCTTTTAGTGGCCTTCCTGTTCAAATTCTGGCTCCACAACTTGCTAAATTTTTAATCAAAATATGGGGTTATCAAACGTTTTAGTGGCCTTCCTGTTCAAATTCTGGCTCCACAACTTGCTAAATTTTTAATCAATTATACCCCAATAGTTTGCTTTTAGTGGCCTTCCTGTTCAAATTCTGGCTCCACAACTTGCTAAATTTCTTTATCTGCAAAGTGTGGATAATGATACCTACTTCATAGGGTAATTGTGGAAATTAAGTGAAGTAATACATATGATAAACTCAGAACAGTGTTTGACACAAGGTAAATATGTTAGCTATTGCTATCATTGCCTTAACTTTTTGAAGTAGGCTTATGAGTGTTCTGTTTGTGTCTTGCCCTGTTTGTTTTCTTCTTAATTTTTAGAAGACCAAGAGAATCATTTTTCATTTTTACTGATATAAATTTGTAAATCTCTTTTAACACCCATCCCTTAAAAATTGAGAGACAGACCTTCTGCAAACTTTTGTCTTCTCTAGACCCTTTTTTATAAGTGCAGACATATTTTCAGAACAGGCAAAGCTCTTTGAGGTATGATCTCCAGGAAGAGTAGTTCATTACTGCTCACGTTTCCACCCCGAAAAATGTAGTTTATTGATTGGCTGAATGCATGTAACATATATGCTTACTTAGGTAGCTCAATATTTGTTTTTGTATTAGGAGATAAAAATACTTGGAAGTATTAGTACTTAATAACTGCTCATTTGTGAGATTGAATAACAATGTAGTGAATTATAGAGAAAACTTATAAAGACTAATAAAATTTTTTTTGTATTTTTGTTATTAGCTAATAGATAAACTTAATACCAATACTGAGATGGAAGAAGTAATGAATGATTACAACATGGTAAGAAAATTTTTAAGTATAAGCAATAGACCTACATAGATCATATCCTCCAAAACAAAACATAAAAAAATATATCTAGAAATAGTTCAGTTAAAACCTTGTGGACCTTAGAGATAGGTATCACTCTGCCCTAAATGCCACTATTATAGTTGAGTTCCTTAGTTGCTCTTTTTAAATTTCTTCCTGTTAGTTGGCTCTTTCATGTCTTTATTACAAAGCCATGTTTGAATTGGTCTCACACTTAGGATTAGTTAGGGAATCCCATATACATTTCCCTTTACATAAATTGGTTTCTAACACTTCTGGTTTAATGTTTGCACAGACAGAGCCGAGTACTCAATAGACATACTAGGGCATCTTTACAGAGTTTTTAAGAAAGGGAGAAAAACAGAGTTACATGATGCCAGATAAAGTACTACTTTTGATTGGTAGATGAGAATTTGTGTTCAGTGTTCTTAGATTATTTGGTAGAAAACAATAAAATGATAATAGCTAGCTTATTTTGGTTATAAACATTTGGAAGAAAATAATGTACATACAACTTATAATTTATGTAGTTTATATTTTATTTATACAAATTTTATATAGCTTTATAATTTACACAAAAACTAGTCAGTGAAGCGTAGAATTTATAAAATGACTCTCCTAACTGGAATTCTGAAAACAGGATCTGTGTAAAATATAAAAATGTCTTGTGTTTTGTCAATTATTTGGGATCAGTTCAATTTCTAGGTTGAATATGCACAGGTAGAGTCAAGTAGGAGTATTTAGGTAAAACCCTGAATGATTTAGGAGTAAAGTTTGTGTTGGGCCTAACTTCAGCAATTATCCAACACCCATTAAATTCTTGAAATTCTGTTTACATAAATTAAGCTTACATTGAATTATTTGACAGATCACTAGTGAGTTTTTGGTGTGAGATTATAATGCCTGTGAAAAAGACTGTTTCTTTTTCTCTGGTATGATGATTTGTTAAATGAAATAAATACAGTATTTTTTAAACTTTGGATATTGCATTAAGATTACTATAATAATCTCTCAGTTCACAACCAACGCAACCTTTAAAGAAATAGCTTAATGATAATTTTTTATAACTAACTTATGTGTTAACTTTTTATTCAGCTTAAAGCTCAAAATGATCAAGAAACACAAAGTATGGATATCATATTTACTGAAAGACAAGCGTAAGTCCATCTCATTTAGAGATCAAACAGATTTGTAAGTGAGCTGTATTAGGTAGTTACTCTTGAGTCATTTATTTTCTTAAAGTTTTCTTAATAATTTTTCCTTTTTGCATTTTAATTTTAAAAATTTGGATATTTGAAATAAAAGTGTTATTGTTTATGCATTTATTATCTTCATTTACTGTTAAATACCCAAGTCCTGTACAAATAAAATTACTACCTATGTTAGGTAAATAAAATTTCCATGTTTAGGAGTTTAAAATCTAAGATGGGTAACAATGTCTTCATCTCTACCATTTGTAATTTTAACCTGTGCTTTTTAACTAATTTGAATTATGAGATTTAAGCCCCAGTGTTATAGGATTTAAGTCATTAGGGCTTACGTCAAAGGGCTTAGTTTTGAGTTATTTACATTATTTCATTATTAATTGATAACTAATAGTAATCTACATCATAGATGTAGATCATATGTGCATCTTTATGTAAGACATGGCTAAAGACAAACCCGAGTAACTTCATTTTTGGTAATAAGGTAATTGTGGCAGTGACAGTAATGCTTAAGATAATAAGTAGATGTGATGTGGTTGTCTTAGTCTGTTTGGGCTGTTATAACAAAAAACTGTAGACTGGGTATTTCACTAACAACAGGAACTTACTGCTCACCATTTTAGAAGCTGGAAAGTCCAATATCAAGGCACAACATGATTCTGTTCTAGTGAAGGCTCTCTTTCTGGTTCATATGTGGTGCCATTTTGCTGTATCCTCATGTGGTGGAAGGGCCTGAGGAGCTCAGTGTGGTCTTTTATAAGAGCACTAACCTCATTAATGAGGGCTCTACCTTCATGACCTAATAAGTACCTGAAGACCACACCTACCAATGCCATTACCTTTTGGGGATTAATATTTCAACATGAATTTTAGAGGGACACAAAAATTTAGAAAGTAGCAGTGGTTAACATAATTATTCTTCATTGACTTTTTACCTTAAATATTGTTTAAGGCAATGCAAACAAAAAAGTTGAGCTATTTTGTATATATACAAACCACATGTATTTTGTCTCAGAAATTTATCCATATTAGTCTTTTTGGGAGCAAGAATAATAATTAACCAAAATCAGTGAAATTCTGTAACATCAAATATACCGTCATATTACCTCTGCATGTATGGTAAATAGTTGATGAAGAACAGGATGTTAAGATTGATGAAACATTTGAAAGATAAATAGAATTATTCTTTTGATTAAAAACAAAGGAATCTCTTTTTCCCTTCTATCATTTGATACTGCTGTGAAGTGCTATCTTAAAATTACAAATACTGAAAGTCTCTTCCATTTTAAAAAAAATTCCATATTCATAGTGACCAAGCCCTTGAAAACTTTCCTTTTTGTTAATCTGGGTTTAAACCATTTAGCAAATATTTATCATCTACTATATATATAGTAGTCTTCTGGGTACCTAAAGAATGCAAAGTAATAAGCTGTAACCTATTGAAGACCTTATAGTGTTTAGAATATTTAGGTCCCATTTATTTCATCATTTATATAAAGGTAATGTAATATGCAGGTCAGATTTATAAGTATTATATGTACATGTTTTATAGATAATTCGTCTAAAAAGATAACTCCCAGAGTTTAGGTATAAATTTAAGAATATCATAGGTTTTTATGTCTTATTTGGTTTATTTAGTTAAGAAAAAAAAGTTCTTAAAATATGGCAGCTTGTCCTAAAAATGTAAGCCATTTACAAACTTATTATCTGTTTGTATATCAATGATATTTTAATTTAAAAAAAAGCTGGATACAAAATTGTATACAATTATGATACCAAAACAAACAAACAAACAAAACCCTTATTATCTATAATTCTAATAGAGGCTGAGTAAATTGGTTCTGACCCATTTAAGCAGAAATTTAAGAACAAAGTTATTTTTATGAAGATTACTTCTATATGCAGCAGGAGGATGGATTTATTTTATATGTTAATCATATGGCCAACATCTCAGTAACACATGTATCTACCTTGACTACACAGTCAAAGGGAAAAGGACATGCTATACCTTGAGAAGGCAGATATAAAAAACTTAAGTTTTCACTGTCTTTTCTTTAGTACCACTATTTAGTATAATATGACCATCTGGTTTATTATGGAACACCTATTCATAGTAATTTGGTTATAGTATATAGCTTCGATGTATTACTACAATATTTAGAACTTAGCTTTAATTCAGTTGCACATGCCTGCTTGAGCTAATGATTCTCTTCCAATTCTGATGTCTATAATTTCACTAAATTTGCTGTAGTAAAGTGAAATGTAATTATGAATGAACAAAGACTGCATCTAACCTCTTATATTCAAGAGCCTCTTATAATTGAATATTGAATGCTTAAAAATATCTCACTAAACAAGTAAAATAAATGGGTTTAAAATTATAATTACATATATTTTCAAAAGATAATTGATTTTGGCTAATACCAAATTTTTAGAAAATTATAGACGTCAGAACTGGAAGAGAATCATTAGTTCAAGCAGGCATGTGCAATTGAATTAAAGCCAAGTTTTAAGTGTTGAAGTAATACATGGAAGCTATATACTATAACCAACTGAATATGAATAGTTGGTCCATAATAAACCAGATGGTCATATCACACTAAATACTGGTACTAAAGAGAAGACAGTGAAAACTGCTTTCTCAAGGTATAGCATGTCCTTTTCCCTTTGATTGTGTAGTGTCAAAGTATATCCTTGTGTTATTGATGTGTTGGCCATCTGATTAACATGAAATAAATCCATCATATAAATGACACATTACATCATTTTAATTAATGAAAAATTTAGGCCTTTTCCTTCTATTATGTATAGTCTTCTAAATACTGCTGAGAGTGATAAAGATGGTATTATAAATATTAGCTACCAAGGAGTATTAGCTACTGTATTTGTACCTACTTGCTCAATAGCAATGAGAAAAACATAATTTTTGACATTAATATGTGTTACAATTAATATGGAAGTTTACTAGCTAGAGTTTAGTATAGTTGGTATGTCACATAACAAAATTTCCATGTCTAAACTGTGAGTGAACTGATAACAATTTTAAAGAATCAAAGTGGAAGGAAATTTTCTTCCCGTAATTCATGAGTATCTATATATTTGTCTTCAATAAATCCATCGTCATCTACCACAAATGAATGTAGTTGTTCAAATATCACCGTAGCTTCTTCAGAGTTTGTATCTGGTATCTGTGAAAGAGAACTTGGATTTCCAGTAAAACCATCTTCATAGGTTTCTGCTTCATGCTCTTCCAGGCGGTGATGATTGTAACTAAGCAGAAAATTATACCATATTGGGCATTTGACAGCAATAAAAATGAGGAGTGAAGTCATCAGTAGAGTGACTACAACACCAACAAGAAAAGCCCAGCTTTTTCCAAGAGGTTCATGTTCTTAAATGGAATACCGAGAGAGGGAGAGAGAGAGAAGAGATATTTTGTTAAATTGACAAACTATAATTTTACTTACATGTCATAATAACTCCCCAATATTGGCATTAGAAGTAAATGTACATTCAGTTTTCTTTAAGCAAAGGTTACTAGAACTGCAATAAAGGTATTTTCACAGTGTGGGGAAAGAATACCTTTTTCCAATTAACTCCTATCTTCACAGGTATAGTTTATCCATTCACCTAAGAACATATTGATTTATACTCAGAAGAATTATAACTTGGTTAGTGAAAACAAAGGCTCAGAGAATTTTAATAACTTACATAATGGCATTTAGCTGGTAACTAGCAGGGCCTACTTCAGAAACCTAGTATTTTGTAAGTCGTTGTTGAAATGAGGAATTTTTACAGAGATGTTCTTTTACATTGTTTCTAGAAATGTAGAATGCAGAAAAATGAAGACCATCTCAGTTTGTTTATTATGCTACCTCAGCAGTATTAATATTCAAAACTATTACCTGAATTTCTTGTTAAGTTGTTCAAAGAGCTGTTAAGTGTTGAGTTGCTAATGGACTGAAAATGTGTATAAAGATCTTCAGTTATAAGTGAAGGAAATTTTGAGTAGCATTCAGCCTTATAAGGTACTGTTTTGATACTGTAGAACTTCAAGATATTTGGGTAGCTACACATGGTGATATTCTCATTTTCTAGTAAAGAAGAAAGAAAAAAATTAAGATTTATTATGTGAAATAAGATTAGTTATGTTTAACAACATTTTATAATTATTTTTTTCTAGAAGTTTTTGACATATCTGTGGTTATTGAAGATACAAGAAAGCACTCTTGTGTTTGCGCCCCAACACAATGAGAAGATGCGCATTCTTGTTTACCAAGTTATTTTATAATATAGTTTAATTCAGTATATATAGTTATTGTTTGTGTTAGTAAAGATACTATGATTAAGATTGTGGTGAAAATCTGGATTTCAGGCAGAGCACAGTTTGTAGGTAAGAAACTAGGGAACCTGTTTTCACCTATTCTCTTGTAGGATATCCTAACAAAAGGAAGTACTTAAATTAATCTTATGTATTGAAATTGCAAACTTCATACATGAGGTGACAGTATCATCTCACATATATAAAACATTTAAATTTTTCTTTTTTTTTTTTTTACTTAAGAGGCAGAGGGAGAGTATCTATTCAACAATTACTTTTTTTGTTTTTTATTTTGTTATCATTAATCTACAATTACATGCAGAACATTATGTTTACTAGGCTCCCCCCTTCACCAAGTCCCTCCCACAATCCCCAGTACAGTCACTGTCCATGAGCGTAGTAAGATGCTGTAGAATCACTACTTGTCTTCTCTGTGTTGTACAGCCCTCCCCATGGTCCCTCCCCCCACATTATACATGCTAATCTTAATGCCCCCTTTCTTTTTCCCTGCCCTCATCCCTCCCTTCCCATCCATCCTCCCCTGTCCCTTTCCCTTTGGTAACTGTTAGTCCATTTTGGTAACTGTTAGTCCATTCTCCAGTCCCTTTCCCTTTGGTAACTGTTAGTACATTCTTGGGTTCTGTGATTCTGCTGCTGTTTTGTTCCTTCAGTTTTTCTTTGTTCTTATACTCCACATATGAGTGAAATCATCTGGTACTTGTCTTTCTGGCTTATTTCACTGAGCATAATACCCTCTAGCTCCATCAACAATTACTTTTTAGTGTTTCTTCCTGTTTCTCTTAAAATAGGAATAGCTTCCTTGCCTTTAAAACATGAGAGACTTTATGGTGCAGAACAACCAAAATCAACCATATTTTGTTTTTATTAATTTAAATTATGATAGCTTACCTAGTGTCACGTTTGATGTATTCAACCAGTTCTTCAAATTCAGCAGACTACAAGAGCAGTTCCATGGATTTCCATATAAAATTATTAATTCCAGATGAAACAGTTGTGGTACATCAAAATAGCTTATCAAATTACCTTGCAGATTCAGAAGTATCAGGTTTTTTAAAGGCACGAATATATCAGGATTCAGTTGTAATATTTTGTTTTGGCAGAGATATAACTGTTTTAGTTCACTTAATCCTATAAATGCCTGTGGTTGAATTACACTGATGGAGTTTCTACAGATATTTAAAATTTCTAGATTGGAGAGGTTACCAAAACTATTATTATGTAAGATAACAATATTGTTCTCAATCAAATAGAGCTCAGTGAGTAAAAAATATGTCTGTAGAGCCCTTGTGTCTGTAACATTCAGAGTAATTTGGTTGTAACTGAGATCAAGTATAGTAACATCTTTATTGATATCCACTGGAATCAAATAATAGTTCATTTCAGTGAAATTACATTTAATTTCCTAAAAAAGAAAAAAATTTAAAAAATCAGGAAACATATTGACATAATTTACCAAATTTTTATATCCAGGCAATGAGACATTGGAAGGAAATAGTTTTAAAAAATAATCTACCTTTTGGTGTTATAGTGTGAAAAAGGGAAAGCAGATACCTTTTTTTTTTCTTTATTGGAATGAAATACTGAAGATTAAGAAAATTCTGATACCTATAATTGAGCAAGGAGCTTCTAGTTGTCATACATGTTATCTTCCAAATTTTATTACATAATCATTGCAGAAAGAAAGAATACTGGTACATTCCCATTTACATATGTGGAAATACATGGTAAAAAAATAATTCTGTTAATTTAGTATTTCAGTGTGCAAGATTGGCATAATGAAATTATTTTAAAATACTTAATTTTAAAAAATCAAAACTACCAACATTGCACCTAGGGCTATTAAGTAATTAAGAAATAATACTATATAACTCCATAGTATTTACAACTCAAAGGTTAGTGTTTTAGAAGAAAATACGTTATAATAGGAATTGAGCCACATATTGAATTTAAAGAGCCAGGCACCATGAAGGAACTGCTTTCCGTATGTGGACATAGATCCAAAGAAATAGTTCTTGTTTTGACTGCCCCCCATAATAAATATCCAAAAATAATAATTTTCCTCATAAATATGAAATTTAAAAAAATGTTTCCTATATTTTAAAGTGTGGTTTTATGTCTTGAAACAAATCTCTGATTTTGTAATGAAAATTTACAGATTTCTCCTTTAATCAACTTTAAAAAACTTATTTTAAGCAAACATGAAGACTGCTTTTGTCAAATTAGAGTTTGGCTCAGAGATGACAGATTTCGAATGTACACAGCTAACCAGAGTTAGTTTTGATAGCATAGCTTGAATTTTTTTTTCTTTCTTTCATTGCCTTGAGGTATTTTACAAAGTTTACCTTTGAAATATTTTAGCTACCTTGATTGTCAAAACTTACTATTTTAGAAGTCTCGCTTTCTTCTGATAATAATAGCATAGAGAAGGGCCAAAACAAGATCATGATGCTTGTGGTTTTCATATCGCAGGCCTGATAGAAAACAGAATATTTTCATCTCAATAGGAGACCAGAAGTTTAGAGATTATGGAGGATGTTTTGATCTCCTTTGTTTCTTTTTAAAATTATTTTTTCTTAAAATGTGTAAAATGTGAAAAAGTACATTCCCTTCACCCTCCCTGCATTCTAATCTTAAACTGGAAAGCTTCCTGTAGAGAATGAAAGATAGTATTTTCAGAGGTGTCTTAATAAGACATTTCAAGGAACTTTAAAATAATTGAAGTGGTCATACATTTAAAAATTTTAATATATGTGCACAAAAGTCTAGAAGAATATATATTTATATATATTTAAAAATGTTAACATTAAAAAATTTTGTACATATATTTGTTATACAAAATACATATTATACATAATTATACACACATAAAAATTTTAATACAAAAAATTTATACATATGTACATTTAAAAATGTTTATATACTTGCACAAAAGAAAGTCCAGAAGAATATATATATGCATGTTTAAGTATAAGCATATATTGCTAATGTTTTGTTTTTCAATTTTAGACATTGTATGTTGGTATAATCCATTGATTTTCAGTTGTGGGAAATGAGAATCTCAGCTCTCTTTCAAACACTGTATACCTTCATCTCTAACCCATCAAGTACATACTTGCAGTCTCTTCATTCTCCAAGCATAGTTGCTTGTGATTTTGGTTGAGTATTTACTCTTGTAAATATATAACAAATGATATCAGTGATGAACCATGGACCAGGATTACTTTTCTGTTCCTGCACACTTTCTTCTCTAATTGTAGTACTGTTCCATTCATGTACTTAGTTTTCTTTATTTTTTGTCATGAATTTATACCTAAGCCCTCCCCTAGAAAATCTCTCAATAGTTTATGCAAATAAAATGTTTAATCTGTTTCATCTGCTTAAAGATGTTGCTTTCAGAGCCTGCTGCCATGCTGGATTAGCTGATGAATTAGCTTTCTACACAGCCACTGACTTTCTGTCCATCCTCATTGTAGAGATTCCCCTTTGCCATTGTTACTGGATTCTTGTTTTATAGAATGCCCTGTCTTGGATTACTGCCCTTTTTTAATGGAGCTTCCTGCAGTGGCCTCCTTAGAAGGTCCATGGGAGGAATTTTTTTATAGACCTTAAAAGATATTTTGGCTACAAGTGTAATTCTAAGTAGGAAATAAATTTCCCTCAAAATGTTGATGGCATTGCCGTATAGTCTTCGGATTTCTAGTATTACTGTTAAGGATTGTGATGCTATGCCATTCCAGTTCTTTATCCTTTAATGTGATATGCCTCCTCTTGCCCTCCAAAACTTTTAAAATCAATATTCTGAAATTTCAAGATCCTTTGAGAGTCTATTTTCATTCATGACACTGGGTACTTGATGGGGACTTTCAATCTGGAAGCTATGTCCCTCAGTCTGGGAAATTTTCTGAATAATTTCATTGATGATACTGATTATTTTCTTATAAAAGAAATCTCATTCTCTTTCTAGCACTCCTTTAATTGGGTGTTGGATCTCCTGGAATGATTTTCTAATTTTTTATCTTTACTGATCTACATTTCATCTCTGTGTGTTTTGCTCTGTTTTCTGGACACATCTTCAACATTATCTTCAAATTTTTATTAAAGTCTTCTTTTTTATCTTCTTGTTTCTTATATCTTCATATACCTGTTAATATTAGGTTTGGGATGTATATTTGAGAGTGGGAAACGAAATAGCTGATTGGAAACTGCATTTGTGTGGATCTTACTAACTTTAGACCTTACTGTAGAGTGAACATGCTAGTCTGTTTTCTTGGGGAATCTCTAAATGTCATTATCTATAGATCTTTTTTCTTGTTCTGGTTGGATTCTCTGAAATGACTGCTCTAATCTCTTGCTTGAACAGATAAAAACAAAGGGGTTGGCATTCTGAGAGGTGAGTAGTAAAAAAAGGTGAATTAATATCAATAATTCATATGTAAATTTCAACTTTCCGTGTTTTTGCCACAACAGCCCTGCGCTCATTGGTGCCCATGTTCCCTTTGTTTTATTCTCCCCAGAGGAAAAAAGCCTCAGTCTTCTGCTTACCTAGGAGAGGATAATTACCTGGCTGGGCAGAGGTGGGGAGGAAGACTTTTAACTTTCAGCCCCTCCTTTCCTACTGGCTGGAATACCTGGTGCTGCCAATTCTGGGCTGTTTAGGTGTTCTACAGGGCTTCTTCACTGGCTTCTCAGCTTTCTCCACTGCTGGCTTGGGAAAACTGTGCTTTCCCAGTCACTTTTCACTTAACTCTTAGCTTTCTAGTATCTAGGTTTTACTGTTGTTACCCCATCTTCCATTCACTTTATCCATATGAGTTATAGTCCTTATTACCTTTTATTTTCATTTTAGTCAGGTTTTGGGTACTAGTCGAAGTTAATGGGTATATTCAACATGCCATTTTTAACAGGAAATTGCCATTTATTTAAATAAATTCTTCTTGTTAAACAGTACCTTCCATATAGTCATAACGACCTTGATGTTTCTTGTTTTTATCTTTGTTCTTAAAGTCAGCATATGAAACTATACTGCAAATGATGTTAAAAAGGATATGAACATTATCTTGTTATTATCAGCCTTAGTGGTTTTCTAAAATTTAGCTTTTTGAGCATTGTTATAGCATTTGTTGCAATTAGTTACATATAATTTTTAAGGAAAAGTTTATTCCATATCAACAGGAAGTAGAAAACTTCAGAATGAGCAAGACTCATTTTAGGTTACTGGTCTGGTGCCTCATTAGCAATAAGGAATTTATTGTTATTTCAGTACTGGCTTATTCTGGTTAACTTCCTTATTGCCTTCAATTTGTTGATCTGTTTGTGCTTATTTCCCTTCTACTCTCACCTTTCCATAGTTAAGTCAGATGTGTTAGAAAAAGCCACTGTTCCTCCTAGATTTTACAACTTGGATGTGTATTGTAATAGAATCCCTTTTAAAGCCAGAAATGAGTTTGAGCTATCACATATTCCAGACCATTGCCCACAAAAGGAGATCCCTAAATCATATATAAAAGGTAGTTTACTCACGGTTAGTGATCTGTACGAATATGTGTGCAGTCTTGTCAATGGCATCTTTCAGTATTTCTCAAACTCTTAGTGAAGTTTTTACCAATGTAACTAATAGAGTGCAGATGTGGGTAAGGTAATGGTGAATAAGGGAGAAGTACTATTTTTTTTTTCAGAAATAAATAGGATAGGGGTCATTAAAGAGGCAAATAGGCCACACAGAGAATTAGCAGAACTTAAGTAAAGGGTTGACATGGAAACCAGCTAAAGAAGGTAGGGGAGGTCAGGCAGGACTAGCCTGTGTGGAAAGGGACACAGAGGATTGTCTTGCATTTATTAGTTTCATGGTCTGTTTTATACTCATACTTGTTTTCTCCAGTGTGCTAAAGGAGGTAAAATTATATGGATTAGGAAAGGAATTTTTTTTCTTTTTAATTTGATAAATTTTAGAGTTAGAAGCAATATATCAAACCTTAAGTAGATTCTGTACAAGGAAATGTTCAAATCTAAAGCATTATTAGGTCTATAGCTATGAAGTGCACTGATTGAGCTACACGGTTTGTGAGATTTTTCATGTTTATGTATCTTTTGAGAGGATAAAGATTGAGAGAGGTGGAGGATGTTGACTATCCCAGCACGGAATAGATAAATCCCTAGCTAACAACATTTGCTAGCATTATTATTAGCTAACTTGAAGAAATCAGATTGGCAGAATAGCTCCTAGTGTACTATACAGGAATTGTCATTGAGTCAATTACCTTATATACAAAGAAGACAGTTGCCATTTTTCTTGCTTTGGAATTTTTTCTCAATTTGAGATTTATTTTGAAGTGAAATTTGTCTTTGAATTTAGTGATTAAAAAATAGAGAACAAATGGAATGTAAGTTACTTTTAATTATTTTACAAAATTAAGACCCCTTTTAGCCTGTGTTCTACATGACAGAAATAAGGCTTTACCCAAAAGGATATGATACTGAAAAAATAAACAGTGTTTTTCTTAGTGCAACTTCAAATGCAAGTTTTTTTAGGAATTTTTGGTTATTTACTTTATACAACTATTATACACCATGAAATAAAAAGATGCTGCAATTATTGTTTGGTTTTGTTAAACATATATATAGCCTTGCCATTTAATATTTTAGATATTTGTGTCAGAATTTAGTGTATTTGGAGTAACATGGTAATAGTTCACTTAACTTCACTGTTGTAAACTGCTGTATACATTTTTTTGGGTGTAAATTTAAAAACTTCTACAGTGGAAACTTTCTAAGGAAGAAACTCTAAGTAAGGCAAGTAGTCATTACTCAGTTTCAGCAATTATATGGTGGCCTATTTTTTTCATCTTACAAACTTGTTTCTAAGCTAATGCCACTTCAAAATGTTCTGTGATTAGTATATTTCAAAATAAAAAGATCTTACCACATTTGATGGGCTAGATGAAACATTTTTCCCAAAAGAAAAATAATTACTTTGAATTACATTATAACTCTGAGAAAGATTTTATTAACCATGTTTGTCCCATGTTTATATTTCTAAGGCAAATCATGTGAAAATATAATCATATTTTCTGGTCTTCTGTCACTTATTAAAGGTAAAGATTTTTGTACAAACTAAAAATATTCAGAAACATCCACCACTGTAAATATATAGGATCTTACCTTAACTTCTTTCTTTTGTTTCTGAGACTCGTATGCTAAAGGAATCGATTCTGTTTCTTCTACACCATTAAAAAAAAGTATGTCATATGATTGTATTTCACTTTGTTTTAACCTTTGTACCCAGTGAACTGTTGATTAAAAAAAAAAGCTAGACTTCCTTAGCAAAAGATTGACTAGAAGAATAATTTCTTAAAGTCATGTTTGACTTTTTAGTCTAACAAGTAAAGTGGTTTGCTTAACCTTTTTGTTTCTTAATTACTCTTGAAAAATTTAAATATTAAATTTACTTTGTGAATTAAAGTATATAATATTGAGAATGCATTCTTTGAAAGATAATATTGCTAAAATGATTTAAGTGTTAGTCCAAAAGGTTTTTTTTGTTTGGAACAATTCAAATTGAAAAGAACCACAGAGTTTTGTATTCCACTGAGTTTCAACTGTGCTGTTTGCTCATTTTTATGACACTATCGTTTGTGGTTTTATTACCAAGTTATAGGAGGAGCACAGTGCTCAAAGCATCAGAAGACCTGACTCTTGACCCTTATGTGGCCTTCAAAATATCAGTTCCCTGCCTCGTCGTGTAATTTCCCCTGTGTAAAATGGAATACTGTACATGACTGTAATGGGGTATGTTGTGGGGACTTGATAATGGGGGGAATCTAGTAACCACAATGTTGCCCATGTGATTTTATATTAATGATACCAAAAAAAAAGGAATACTGTACATTAGTTCCCATCTAACTGCAGTGGGCACATCAGGCAAAAACATGGTGAAGATTTGTTGTTTAAAGTGAAAAATCATGAAGTTCAGAATGACTTAGTTCCAAAAGATTAATTCCTGTGAGCCTCAGTGTCCTTCATCTGTGAAACAAAGAGATTGAAATCGGTGGTTTTTTCTGTGTGAAAGTCCTAGGAGCCCAGGTGCTCATATAATTTGTAGCAGCAGCAGATGTTTGTTACACTCTAGTAATTGAGGTTCAAAGTGACTGCGTCTGCACTACCCAATAGTGAGACAAATAGAAATTCCAGGTTGTCTGTTTCATTATGTTTATGTTTTGTTTAGTTATTATAAGATGTTCTTTGTAGGAAAATTTCTGAGTTTAGATTATCTTACTCTAGTAGGGTATGAGTGTGTGAAGAGTGTGTGGTTATGTGGATCTGTAGCATAGGTAATGATTGTGAAAACTATAGAAGATACAATATGTGAAAGAATAATAGGATAATCATTTTGAAACTCAAAATGGAAATTTATGATCTTGGGACTAAAATTTTATTTTCAGACAGCTTTTATTATGTAAATCTTGAAGTATTTACTTGATAACTAGCATCTTTTTTTTTCAAATTTTTTTCTCTATCCCATTAATAATTGACCTTGCATAGGTAAATAAGTGGCATATCACTGGTATTTCTTGTGATTATATGATAAAGATGGTTATTATCCATAATTAATTTCACAACTACTACTATATGATTGTACTTATAATGTTCTTATATTTTTAGGGAAGTTAATTTACTATTTTGCAGCGCTAAAATATAGTTAATAATTTTTGAAATACCAATTTTAGTTAAAGCAGTAGATAAAATGGAATTTAATGTAAAGCTGTAATTTTTTTTAATCCAGTTGCTCTCTAGGTCTCTTACTCCCCACTTTCAATCAGAGCTGTGTTACTTTTTATAATTTACATGGTTAATTTCCATACAAGGTTTCATTTGGCCAAATAATGCTGTAGCTGGGTAGAGCAAAAAGAATCTGTAGTCAGAAGAAATTTGAAAATTACTATTCTAAAATGTAACTGTCTTATTTGTCTTGAGGGTATGATAACAAAAGTATAGCTACATCCTCATATGTATAAGGCTTTAAGGATTTCTGAGATAATCTTTGTATTTTCTTTTAGGAAAGTAAAGAAAAATGGGCAGTAAGGAAATAGGATTTAGGGATTGAGAAAAGAAAGACATAAAATAAGTCTGTGCTAATGGGGCCAAATTTTGTACAGATCAAGTGGGTTTTTATTTTTTATAAATCTATAAGGACTAAGGATCTTTAGATCATGAGCTATGGTTGAATAACTTTTAATTAAAACCCTATTTAATTGGGACTGTGACCTGAGTAAAATTGTTTTGTTTTTGTTTTTTGTCTCAATATAGTCTCAAAAAGAGAAATATTGCGTACTTTTTATTTCAGGAAAGAAAAACAAATTAGAACTGTAGAAGAAGAAATTGAACAGGAAAAAGACGCAGCAGATGGCATTATAAAAAATATGTCTCCTGAAAAACAAGTCAAGTACATAGAAATGAAAACCACAAATGAGAAATTGTTACAGGTAATACTAATTACTACTCTGTGCCAGCCATATAGCAGTTTTGCTACTAAAATTATAATCTGAAGATGGGCAGCATGAGCATCTCCTGAGACCAACTGATCTGAATCTTCTTTTTAACAAGGTCTTCATTCATATGGACATTTATATTTGAGAAGCATTGATCTAGAAAAACTTCATTTTCTTAGGCTGCATGATGACCTAGATTTTACTGTATATGTTCAGTTCTATTCATCCTTCATGGTTGCATATCATAAAGACACATGAGAATATTTGTCTTTAATGGAACATTAAAAGGCCTCATATATCAGAGCTATATGGGTATTTACTTTCTTTTCTTTTTTTCCTGCCTGCTAAGCAGCAAATCTCTTACCTGCTGTGCTTGTGATTTGAACAGCTTTTGGCCCTTAATCACGGTTTCAAATAAGCAGTTTGGGTGCTTGCTGAGATTATTGAAAATCCTTCCAACATTCAGTCATGGTGATTCAGATTTGTAAATTGGTGCCCTTTCATGCCCAAATGTCCCATAACCAATAGTTAATAGAGAATTAATCCCCACAAATGCTAACAGTAAACGCAGTTCCAGTTTCTCAGATAATACTTCATTGACAATTTAACATAACTTTTTATTGTAGACAGGATTTATAATATAAAATGAAGCAAGAACAAATAATATTATCGAAATGCCAAAGTGATATTAAAATATAGTTAATCTTGCACAGGGTTTTGCATGACTAATCTGTTCAAGAGTCTTGTCCCTAGGAGTGAGCCACCTAAATTGGTATATAGGTCTTGGCCCTAAAAGAAATTAAGCAAAAGGTATGAAAATGTGATTAAAAATAAAAAAACATAAATTTAAACAATGACATAATTAATTTGAAGGCTTTTGATATTTAATATTCTCAGCACAGTTGATGTACTGTGAAGAAGTCTGGCTACCTTTATCAAGCTAATAAATTATTTTTTAAAATAGATCATGGCAAAAATTTTAGGAATAACAAATTTGGCAGAAATGGAAATAATGATTGTTAATAAATTCTAGTCAAATCACAAGATACAAGGGTTGAAGATGTTGACAAAATTTACTTTTGTTACATCTGTATTTGAAATGTTTGGAAACAAATTGTTCTTAGTATAACTTGCATATATATTTGCCTTTTTCCTTATTCTTTAGGAATTAGATACACTTCAGCAACAACTAGATTCACTGAACATGAAAAAAGAGAGCCTGGAAGCTGTAAGTATAAAATCAAATAAAGGTTATTAGATTACTCAGCTACAAAAGCTAATTCAACTAAATATATTAATGGAACTATTTCAGGTACATATTTATTTAGCAGTTTGCTAACAGGAGTATAATTTTTTTCCCATTCTAGAGCACAAATGTCCTAGTTTGGGAAGAACAAATTATATTCAGTTATTGAGTACCTGCTGTGTACCAAAGATAATTCTGCCCTGCTAGAGCACACGAAATCTAATAGTAATTTAAAGACATATGAACAAGATATTAAAAATGAAGCGAAAGAGACTTCAGTTCATCACTTTAAAGATGTAAAATTTTGCGTTTGTTTTCTTACTTATTTAAAGCAGGTTTAACTCACAAAACAAAACTTGTTTATGGTAAAAAAAAATTGAGTAAGATGGAAGTTAAAATGCCTGTTTCTTTTCCCTCTTTCCTGTGAGAACTATGCTTCCATTTATTGAGTGCTTACTGCATGCTTTTTTTGAACTCTTTACGTATATTACCAGCTTTGTCATTTAAGGTTAACAAAAATCCTATAGTCCTATCTTTGTTTTACTATTGTGGGAAACCTCAAGTGGAATTCACCCTTGATGTGCTGCTGCTGCTTTTTGTATGTTTATTGTTTTGTTTTTCCAACTAACATTCTCTTCTGTATGTTTGTTCACATCAGCTCTTAGAGGTCTCCCTCATCATTTTAAATTATTTCATTGTATTACATTGTATGGCTGTAACACACAGCTTTGTAAGTAAATAGGTTATTTGTAGTTTTTTTGGAGTTATAACCAATGCTGCATTGAAAACATACAATTTTTGCAAAGTTACATAAGATAATTTTTTTTTTACAATGGGCCAGAAGGTATATACTTCTAAAATTGTGACATTGCCAAACTGCCTTCCAAAAAGTTTGTTCATTTTCAACTGTAGATTCAATGTGTAAGAGTGCCTATCTTCCTCTGCATTTATTTAGAACAAGCATTATCCACCTTTCCCAGTTTTGCTTGTTTAATAGGTAAAGATTACTATATTGTTTTAATATTCATTTATTTATGTATGAAGTTGAGCATCTTCTTACATATTTTATGGCCAACGTATTTCTTTTTCTCTGAACTACCTTTTCATGTCCTTTTTACTTCAGTATACTGTCTACCTCAAGCTTTGCCTTCCTTTCCTGATTCCCTATGGATTCAGGTAGATGTAATAAAGAAAGGAATAGTAGCATTTGTAGATTGACAAGACTGCTGTCACCTAGCTTGCAAAAGACATAAACTTGAGTATTTTGTAACAATTCTTTTGGAACTTTGCTGTTGAAAAAGTAGCTTTCTTAAAAATATTAATATGGCTTCTATGTCAGATTGTTCACACATGGGTACACATAATTTTTATTTTCTTGCATGTCAATGGTAATAGAAATATGCTCTAATGAGTAAGAACCACATTTAGTATTAATACAGATGGCCACACCATGTGTACTAAACATAATACCCCTCAATCCCCTTCTCCCTCCCTCCCCACCTGCCCTCCCACACCCCTCCCCTTTGGTAACCACTAATTCATTCTTGGAGTCTCAGAGTCTGCTGCTATTTTGTTCCTTCAGTTTTGCTTCATTGTTATACTCCACAAATGAGGGAAATCATTTGGCACTTGTCTTTCTCCACCTGGCTTATTTCACTGAGCATAATGTCCTCCAGCTCCATCTATGTTGTTGCAAATGGTAGGATTTGTTTCTTTCTTATGGCTGAATAATATTCCATTGTGTATATATACAACATCTTCCTTATCCATTCATCTACTGATGGACACTTAGGTTGTTTCCATATCTTAGCTATTGTAAAAAGTGCTGGATGAACATAGGGGTGCATATATCTTTTTGAGTCCAATAAGTTGTATTCTTTGGGTAAATTCCAACGAGTGGGATTCTGGGGTCAAATGGTATTTCTATTTTTACTTTTTTGAAGAACCTGCATATTGCTTTCCACACTGGTTGAACTAGCTTACATTCCCACCAGCAGTGAAGGATTGTTCTCCTTTGTCCGCATCCTTGCCAGCATTTGTTGTTCTTAGTCTTTTCAATGCTGGCCATCCTTACTGGTGTGAGGTGATACCTCATTGCGGTTTTAATTTGCATTTCCCTGATGGTAAGTGATGCAGAGCATCTTTTCATGTATCTGTTGGCCATCTGAATTTCTTCTTTGGAGAATTGTCTCTTCATATCCCCCACCCATTTGCTAATTGGTTTATTTGCTTTTTGGGTGTTAAGGCATGTAAGTTCTTTATATATTTTGGATGTTAACCCCTTGTTGGATATGTCATTTACAAATATATTCTCCCATTCTGTAGGATGCCTTTTTTGTTCTATTGATGGTGTCCTTTGCCGTACAGATATCTTTTAGTTTGATGTAGTCCCATGAGTTCATTTTTGCTTTTGTTTCCCTTGCTCAAGGAGATGCATTCAGGAAGAAGTTGCTCATGCTTATATTCAGGAAATTTTTGCCTATGTTGTCTTCTAAGAGTTTAATGTTTTAATGACTTACATTCAAGTCTTTAATCCATTTCGAGTTTACTTTTGTATATGGGGTTAAACAATAATCCAGTTTCATTCTCTTGTATGTAGCTGTCCAGTTTTGACAACACCAGCTGTTGAAGAGGCTGTCATTTCCCCATTGTATGTCCATGGCTCCTTTATCATGTATTAATTGACCATATATGGTTGGGTTTGTATCAGGGCTCTCTAGTCTGTTCCATTGGTCTATGGGTCTGCTCTTGTGCCAGTACCAAATTGTCTTGATTACTGTGTCTTTGTAGTTGAGCTTGAAGTTAGGAAGCGAGATGCCCCTACCTTATTCTTCCTTCTCAGGATTGCTTTGGCTATTCGGGGTCTTTGGTGGTTCCATATGAATTTTAGGGCGATTTTCTCTAGTTTGTTGAAGAATGTTGTTGGTATTTTGATAGGAATTGCATTGAATCTATAGATTGCTTTAGGCAGTATGGCCATTTTGTCAGTATTAATTCTTCCATCCATGAGCATGGGATATATTTCCATTTATTGGTATCTTCTTTAATTTCTCTCATGAGTGTCTTGTAGTTTTCAGAGTATAGGTCTTTCATTTCCTTGGTTAAGTTTATTCCTAAGTATTTTATTCTTTTTGATGCAATTGTGAATGGAATTGTTTTCCTGATTTCTCTCTCTGCTAGTTCATTGTTAATGTATAGGAATGCCACAGATTTCTGTGTATTTATTTGTATCCTGCAACTTTGCTGAATTCAGTTATTCTGGTAGTTTTGGAGTGGATTCTTTAGGGTTTTTTATGTACAATATCATGTCATCTGCAAACAGGGACAATTTAACTTCTCCTTGCCAGTCTGGGTGCCTTTTATTTCTTTGTGTTGTCTGATTGCCATGGCTAGGACCTCCAGTAATGTGTTGAATTGAAGTGGGGAAAGTGGGCATCCTTGTCTTGTTCCCTATCTTAAAGGAAAAGCTTTTAGGTTCTCACTATTAAGTATAATGTTGATTGTGCATTTGGCATATATGGCCTTTATTATGTTGAGGTACTTACCCTCTATACCCATTTTGTTGAGAGTTTTTGTCACAAATGGATGTTGAATTTTGTCAAATGCTTTTTCAGCATCTATGGAGATGATCATGTGGTTTTTGTCCTTCTTTTTGTTGATGTGGTGGATGATGTTGATGGATTTTTGAATGTTGTACCATCCTTGCATCCCTGGAATAAATCCTACTTGATCGTGATGGATGATCTTTTTGATGTATTTTTGAATTCTGTTTGCCAATATTTTGTTGAGTGTTTTTATGATGCCACTTGTCTTTGACTTCAGTACATGTATGCCTAAAATAATGATATTTTGAAATGTCCAGTATTTTCAAATCAAAAAGCATAAGTAACTAACAGTAATTCTGTTTAACTTCTGCCAGATTTCCTTGTGGGTTTTTTTTTTTTTGGACTCATTCTTCAAGAAAACATTATGTCAGATATCAATCAACTAGTATTTATTGAATATCTACTGTGTGCTCATTACTGTGCTAAGTATTACTTATTCAGTTCACAGGGATTTGAGAAAATCAGGTGAAGGATCAGCACAGGCTTGAGTCTTCAGGAACAGTTTTACCAAGTTGCAATTTTTTTTTGACTTCTTTTTTTTTTTGGTATCATTAATCTACAATTAATGAGGAACATTATGTTTGCTAGTCTCCCCCGTTCAACAAGTCCCCCCAACATACTCCATTAGTCACTGTCCATCAGTGTAGTAAGATGCTGTAAAATTACTACTTGTCTTCTCTGTGTTGCACAGCCCTCCCCGTGCCCCCCCCCACATTATACATGCTAATCATAAGGCCCCCTTTCTTCTCCCCCCCTTCTCCCTCCCTTCCCACCCATCTTCCCCAGTCCCTTTCCCTTTGGTAACTGTTAGTCCCTTCTTGCATTCTGTGATTCTGCTGCTGTTTTGTTCCTTCAGTTTTTCCTTTGTTCTTATATTCCACATATAAGTGAAATCATTTGGTACTTGTCTTCCAAGATGCAATTTTAACAAGTCTATAGTTTGTTCAAGTAAAAAAGAAGGGGAAGATACTATGGAAAGTGATACCTCAGAACATCTGCATTTCTCCTATATGTATTTTATTATCATGCTTTTTCACCTGAACACAATTCGTACTTGAGCTATAATATAACCCTATGGGCTTTCAGGCATTTCCTCTTGTTCACTTTTTCCTTCTTCTAAGATTCCTTCTCTTTTGCTTTCAAAAAAGCAGATATCTTCTGTCTTAAAAATTTGGTCTTCCTTGTGCTGTAGGCCTGACCACAGATTTCATCATTATCTTTTGTTTTTGTTACACTTAGAAAAATTATTGAGATTTCAGATCCTCAGTTTCCTCATCTGTGAAATAGAGATGGTAGTAGTACTATCTTACAGAGTTGTTCTGTGGATTACAGATAGTGTTTAAAGAATGTATAGTATAGTGCCTGGCACAGAGAAGT